ATATCTGGCCATTGTTGCTAAGAAGTTTGTTGCAAGGAAATGAGAAGGGGAGAGATCAACTTTCAAATTTTTTTAAAGATGTTTAGTAATATCCAATTTTCAATTTGTTAGGTCCTAGACTGTGAGATCTTTGCTATTGACAATTGTATTTATCACCTGTCATTATGAAGATTTATTCAATTAAGAAGCAGACAGTCGAGTTATCTCATTTAAATTTGAAATTTGAGATGTTAAAAGTTTCTTAATTGTGTTGGATATGAGAACACAGGGAATCAATGAGAAGATTCTGTCACTGAACTATGGGGACTTAAGGTCCAAGATCAAGTCAATGGATGCACAGGAGTCCTCTGATGGGGGAGTTCATGTCCTGGTGACTGGATATCTGTCTGGGAAGGGCAATACAGTTAGGAATTTCTCTCAAACTTTCTTTCTTGCACCACAGGAAAACGGATACTTTGTTCTGAATGACATTTTCCGATATATGGAGAATTTCACTGTGAACCTTGCTGTGGTCAGTGATGTTTTGAGGCCCATTACACCGGAGCCAAGTAACAAAAATTTAATGCTTTGTTCCATTGTATTTTACATTGTTGTTTGGATATAAAAAACATCCGTTTTCTGTTTCATCACTTGCAGGTCCAGCTCCGCTTGAGATTCACGTTTCTCAGCAAAGCAGTTCATCTACTGATGAAGCTTATGGGGGAGAAGTTCAAACCTTGCATGAGATTGTAGATGCGTCAATCGTTGAAGAGGAAATTGCAGAAGAAGAAATTCCAGTAGCTGAGGTTATCGATGAAGTATGGGAAGATTCTCAAATGGTGGTTGAATCTAGTGCTCAAACCGAAGAAGTGCAAAACAAGTCTCATGCTTCTATTCTAAGTGTCTACAAGCTGTCAACCACCTTTATTTTTTCATTTATCTAATCGCCTTGTTTTATTTTTTGCGAACTTCATCTCTACATAATTTTATTACTTTTTTGTGGTACATCTGGAAGAAAATGAAAGGGAAAACATAAGCTAGATCCTAGCAAAAGCAACCCCCATTAATTGTATTACTGACTGGCACTGAGATTTGACCATTAATTTACTTGCATCTATTTTATTTTTCTGGCCTATTTTTCAATCCATCAGTAGTTCAACATCACCTTTTGCAATATGGTTTAGGTGATGCATCTCAAGGAAAGCACAGCAAATTTCTCACAGCCACCACAGGCTCAGAAAGCTTCCCCAAAGATCACAGAACAAGTGAACCCACCTTTACCACCGCCAACTGATGCATCTTTTTCTAGTTCTGATGCAATTGATATTGGGAATAATCAAGATGGTGAGGACATTATATGGCTAAGAATCTATTGCCTATTTATCATCAATTAATAAATTGTGATTTGAAATAATTCAAAAATCATGTTATTTACTTTGAGCAGCTGATGGTTACTCGATATATATAAAGGGCTTACCTATGACTGCTACCGAGTCCTTACTTGAGGAAGTGTTTAAGAAATTTGGGGCAACCAAGAAGGATGGCATTCAAGTTAGAAGTAACAGAGTCTGTATCAGTCGACTGATGCAGGACCAATGCAATTCAA